GTTTGAAAATATTTCCACGCGTGTAAGTGAGCGACAAAATATTCACACACCTGTCAGCGTGTGAAAGAATATTCTCACACTGGTAGGTGAGCGAATAAAAATTCATACAATTGGAAAGGTCGCCATTTACTCACATTAATTTTGAAAATGAAGCAAGCGGGGGGGAGTAGTGTCTGCCTCACTCGTATTTTGCACGAGCCCCGCGCAGCTAATGAAAGCTACTTAAACGGATTGAATAAGAGGACTTGGTTGTTGCACTCACGCTTGTGTCGTAAAGGTTGGAAGATGAAACACAGATCTAGAGGCCTTACCATCAAACGTATGCGAGGATTCGAACCCGCAACACCGAGTGCCGAGTCAATAGACGGTATTCAGCGACCCTGCCACCAGAGATACCCATAGCCAACAGAGGTGAGCCGTGTTCCAAACCTACTTGAACTTCAGGTCGGCCCTGAGGCCTTACACCAACGTCAAACGGAAAGCAAAAAATCTTACCGATCCTTGAGTCGAACCGTCGACCTCAGACGCTCTGGGCGAGAGCTCTACCGACTGAGTCATAGAGGCGAGATTCAGGTTGTCATTCCAGGGGACGAGCCATTAAACGTAGTCGCCGACGGCTTGAAAAAATTCCGCGAAAAATTCTGTCTTTAAGAATTTTTCTGTTCACACAACATGCACTGATTGGTACGTTTTAAAGAGCTGCGAACAACATATCAAAAGACTGGGTCCCGGCTGACCTCTCCCCAAATGAATCCCCAAAAAGTTATCGCCATCTTTTGATATGTTTGTTCCCCGCACTTCAAAACGCACAAATTAAAACATGTTGCGCGAGCAAAAAATTTCCTGCACAATTAGATTTTTTCAGCTGTCAGTGACTGCGTAGAATGGATCGTTCCCAGGAGCGACGGTCTGTATCTTGCCTGTCAGTCGGTAGAGCACCCGCACAGAGCGTGGGAGGTTGGCAGTTTGACTCCAAGCTCGGCAAGAGTTTTCGTCTTTCCCTTTGGCGTTGGTGTACGGCCTCAGAGCCGACCTGAGATTCAAGTAGAATCGGAACACGGCTCACCTCCGTTGGCTTGGTAGCTTCGGTGGCAGGGTCACTGAAACTGACGATTGGATTCGGCACTCGGAGTTGTGGGTTCGATACCCACGTGCTTCGGGACGGAAAAAGAAAACAGTCCCCCAGGAGGTAAGGCCTCTGAATCTGGGTTTCAGTCTTGCTCACCTTGCGTCACCTGCAAGTCCATCGACCAAGTCCTCTTGAATCCGTTTAAGTAGTTTTCATTATCTATGCGGGGCTCGTGCGAAATACGAGTGAGGCAGACGCCCCCCCCCCCTCGCTTCATTTTCAAAAAAATTGTTGGCACTCCTTTTTGACGACAGTTTGTTTGCATTTTCATACAGACTGCCAATTTTTGGCGTCTTTTTGACATCTTTAGAATTTGTCTTTCGAAGAGGCCTTAAAGGGGTCAAAAATTAGTTGTATATATTTTTTAAAAAATGCAAAAAAAGTTTAGCATGCAAATAAGTAGGAATTCTGTCTTACGACTGTTTGTAACAGAGGCTGTCTTGAATTCTGTAATGTACTAACTCTACTGTTGAATTTTTATAGTAAAACGTGGGATTTCGCGGTATTCATTCCTGTCTCGAAATAAACAAATTGAAAGTAGCGACGCGGTAACTGCGTCGCAAACAGAAGCGTCAACTTGGGAACATCGCAATTAAGGCAATTGAGGTGACAAAGTTAAAGCATTTAGTAGTAAAAAGACATTCCAAACGAAAAACAACTCAAACTGAGAATTAATTGTTCACCTTGCTTGCCTGGCTCCGCTAGCTACTTACCACACATGTTCAGGGAAGATTAATAATTCATCTACTTAACATCTATCGCGGAAATATGTTGCGAAAACAGCAACAAAACGATGGTAGATGCGCAAAACGATAGTTTGTAACCAGCCCCCCTTCCCGTTTTAATTTTGATGCCCTAAAATTTCTACAGGGTGATTGTGATGCGTAATGCAATGAAGAATGCTCAGAAAGCTAGGGAAAACAACACCTTGACACGAAAGGGACCGTGAAAAACGAAACGTATATGGAACCTCTATGGGTCATATATTAGCTGTATGCATACTTTGTTCATATATATCCCGTATCTGCCCGTATATAACGTGCTGAAATTTCTATGATACCTTGTTAAAAACCGTCATCTAATATGGAGCGGTGTCCTAGAATCACCACTCAAATGAAGTGACGAAAACTGTGTCTCAGCAACGACAAATTTCGTCACTCTTTTTAGATCAGACACATTATTCGAGCGGTTTCGTTTGTTTATTCCCCGGCAGCGCAAATACGCATTACCTGCTGCAATGCGCTTGAAAATGTACGTAAAAGGTGACACATTGGTGACACATTAAATGCGCATTCAATACTGCGATGCGATGCGAATTTAATGCGTCACCAATGAGTGAACTTTTAAGTGCATTTCTACGCTCATTGAAGAGCATACTGCAGTGAGGCGCTTCTGGGGCAAAGAGCTGACATGACGTCGACTATCGGATCATACTGCTAAAGGGACGCCCATGTTATTCAACGCCCATAAATGTCTTCAGCATCGAAGCCTTAAAAAAAGAAGGGGAAATAATACGGTCAGTTCCCTATAGTCCTCCCCCAACCTAAGCCGTACCTAAAAACTTTGAGTAGAACAGGTGCCTATATGCTCAGGTGTCGGCGAACTGAAGGACATCTAGCAGTGGGGCCAAGAAGAGCGACCTATCCCCCTTTAACAGGCCATTGCGGCATATTATTTAGCGGAAGTTTTTCAGTTTATAAGTTATAGTTTTTAAGAGGATACGAGGAAGCCAGACTGAAAGAAAAGTTTGATTGAAGGGACCATACATTACGAAAAACGCAAATTTGACAATAATACTGCACTTACCTCGTTACGTATTTTACAAATGTTAAAACTCTACTATCACAAATACAAGTGCTTCTACTTCTTTAAGTGCTTGCTAATTGTTAACATACGGAGCCCAAGCCATTTGCGGCAAACCCAAGAAGTACATTAAAGGTTTTTCTTTTTAAGCATTTCTACATATTGATATTTCTTTTAAAAATGAGCACAAATTTACAGGCACATTTGAAAGTGGGAGATATCAACGACAAATTGTGTATTCGATTGAAATCCATCAGATGATTGAATCTAAGCAAGATAGTTTAGAAAAAATACGCGAAAGGCAATATTAGCTCAATATATAGAACACAAGATGATGAACCGAACTAATGTGATGATGGCAAATTATTTTCAATTCTATTGGTCTAATTTTTCTATTTACGTGGGGAGTGCCTTAAGGCAATCTCCGATAGAAAATAGAGTAATGATATAGCACTTTTTATTTATCGTGCCAGACGCTTCGGAGAGAACCTTACGAGGTAGACTTGTGAAATTTTCTACCAGTCCATTATGAACACAGAACTTTTTCAACGTCCATCTAAAGCATCAAGGGAAAAAAATCTTTTCTTACAACAAACAGTTTTCTTAACATAGACATAAAAATAGTTGCGATAACTATTTGTTGGAGGAACAGTTCTTTTACTAAAACAATAACTTTTAATTGTAGTCCAAGAATTGCAATCCGACAATGGGTTTAGTTCTTGCAAGTAGTTTTTGTTAAGTGTCTATGTTCACGGAACTGTTTTTTGTGAGAACAAAATCATTTTTCCGTGATGTACTAGGTAGCTGATTCACTCCACCCACTTCTTCAGTCAGGCCAGTTAGTTTTGCACAGTGTCGCACACGTGCGGTGCAGTCTAACCTTAGAAGTGGGCGGGGCAAATCAGCCACCTGGAGGACTGGCGGTTTCACCAGCCGAACCCCAGAAGGCTCGCTCGCCAGCGCTGGCGGCTTTTTAATCAGGCCTGGGTAAAGCTAATCCCATCACCGAGTGGCCGTACTACACCAAAGCAGCCCATGACCAGCCGCGCCCGACTCAACCTGACAATCAAGCACGGTCATTCCACTTCCCCAATTCCCAAAGGGTCAAAATTCCATTATTAGAGTAAACAATGACTGCTGCGTTCGTGTAAAGTTTTACAAAATATTTCATGCAACAATTTAAAGAAATTTATATTTACAATTTTCCGTTGAAAGTTGTTAACGAAGCAAAATTATTTTTCCTTGCACGAAAGTAAAACAACCTTTTTGTAATCAACTCTCTTTGATCTTCAATCGATAGCTGAAATAGTCTTATACAAATAAAACTGCAGTAAGTTTTGGACAAAGAACTGCGTTTGCGTTTCCAGAGTTTGCAGAGTTAGGAGAACGATCACTGCAAGTCAAGGAGTAACTAAAATCTCCCCTAGGATAGGATATCATTGTACATCGCTCGTTAAGAGAGTCGGTTTTGCGTTTTTGGTTACAAATAAGACTTATTTAGAGTCGTATTTATGAACATCGCTCCCTTAGAGCGCACGGTGAAAACTCTTCCTTGATATCCAAGGACCATCGGAAGGATTCAAGGACGGGATAGGGAAAATTGCATGGGGCGTCCTTGAATCGTTCCGATGGTCCTTCGACCAGAAGGAACAATTTTCACCGTGCGACGAAGACATACGTCGATCTATTGTCAGCGTTCAGCAAGACACAAATTCGATCGGTGCATTTTGAAAGTGTGGCGCCTATGAAAGGTACCAAGTCCTCCCAAACCTATGCTTTGAGCGCAATAGCCACACTTAGTTGTCAGGTTGGGTAAAGGCGCGGCCCCGTCCGGTTACCTGAGCATTTGAGTCCCTGGTGGGAGAGCCCATGCAGCATGGATCCGCAGTGGTCGCAGAAGGTGGGGGTCAGGTACGAAAACACGTCCCACTTGTGTTTCTGAGTCTCCGCCTGCAGGTCAACATGACATCACAGTACCGCTACCTCAACATCACCATTTTAATACTATTTATTATAACTAAAGAGTACCCTCGGTCAGCAAAAGAGAAACCAACAACACCGATTATAGACTTTCTTTCGTTCCTTTAAAGGAAATTTCCTAATACCACGACGGATGTGACTGGTGAGGGTGAGGAGGAGGAAACGGCAGTCAGGCAGGCAAGCACACATCAACATCAAAACAAAAACACAAAAAATAAAAAAATACGAATTGTATGAGAATAATAAAAGGAGCTGTAGGCAGGCACACACATCTCTGCACAGGCCAGCCACACCACGCCACGCCATACCGACGGCATTTACCTAAACATGGGCAGCGAAGTTGGTTCTGGTTTAGAACTGATCATACACTGTTAAAGAATATCGTTCCGATGAGACTTTGCATGTTACAACACTCTTGTGTATTTCCAACAATGGAATTTTACATCCAAACAGCACATTTCCTGTACTAGGACGATATATCGTCAAACAAAGTCATATGTTCGTACAGAATATCATTATGTAACGACATTGATCATTGGAAAGCAAACCATAACGCTAAAGGACCAAGGGCAGAATACTTGCTGATCGAAACGAAGCTAGCTCCCTTGCGGATACTCCAGCTCAAAAACTTTCTTCGGCCACTTCGCATTGAATCGTTTCATTCTCCAACATGCTGACAATTTCGAATTTCCCCCTATATACACTATATGTAGGTTGTGCCACAGGCTCGTGATAAATTGCTGTACCTGGGAGCTTTTTTCGTTAACCCTAACAGGGGGCTCACTAAAAATTATATTCCATAATTTCTGTCAAAGAAACTAAGGTGGTTCAAATAAAAGTGTAGCGTTGGTTACAAACGTGTCAAAGTTATATGTACAGAAGTCCATAGTGAAAATACGGTATTGTCCTTTAGCGTATTCATTTAGCATGTACTCTTGACTTGACAAACTTAAGATAAAAAGTATCGTGAAATAGAGACGGATTTTTTAACAGTGTATCCTCCGCTGAAAGCTTGGCTCCTATAGCAAAACGTTAGAGTTCGCGAGACTTTTCAGTCAAATCAACCTTTGACAAACTAAGGTCAAAGGAAAAAACAAAAGTTTTATTGTGAGCCTAGAGACACATGAGTTAATGCTAATCTTTGCAGTACGATGGTGTTTGCGTGTGTGTGTGTGTGT